GGTGCGAGGCGGGCAGGAGAGAGAGCCAGGGCGCGGGACTGACTCTGAGGCTGCCGCCTGGCTGCAGAGAGGGCGAATCCATCAGATGGAGAAATGGGGCCACTGCTTACAAGGGAAATAAAGAGCAGCGGGGACGGGGAATATTTATACGCCCGTCTTCCCGCTCCGAGAGGAGCTGCTTCATCACCGGACGGGCTGTGGAGCTGCAGCAGCTTCTCCAGGACCACGAGGGCTTCGCCCGGCCCTGGGGTGGGGGGCAGGGGCAGGCTGTGGACGGGCCGGAAAGCCCTGTCCCTGCTGGAGAGGGGAGACGGCGGACTGGACTAATTCCCGGGACGCGGGCCCTGCCTCGAGCCTGGGCTGCGTGTGGGGGGCAGCGGACGGCACTGCCCCTGGGAGCCGGAGAGCGACCGCATTCGGGTTGGCGTTAACTAAGCCGGCGGCCGCCATTTCCCACCCCACCCACAGGCTACGTCTGAATCCTGAGAGGTTCTGTTGTCTTTCCAGTGCCTTGTTTTGTTTCGTTTTTTTCCAAATCTGCTAAGGGCCTGGCAGATGTGCCTGGCATGTGGGGTGGGACAATCAGGCCTGCACGGCCTGCACTTGAAGGGGCGACGAGGAACGTGTCCAGGGCCAGGTCCAAGGGGCAGCTGTGGTGCCCTGCAGCCTGGGGCCTGTCCTTCCCCCAACACCTCGCCACCTCCATGTCCACAGATGGCCCTGCAGACACTCGTCTGCACACTGAGATGCCAGGCAGTGCACGTCCCCACCTCCGCCCACGGGGGAGGCACCTGCCTGGCACGGAGCAGCCTCTCTAGACACCGGGCCCTCCTAACTTGCCAAGGAACCCAGGGGGAACCTGGGAGGCGTCTGGGGTCACGAGTGTTTGCCCCAAACCCAAAGGCACTGTCCCACCTTTACTGATTTTGGGGTTTGGCTTAATGGTGTATAAAATACAAAGTTGTACAGTTAGCAAAGCAAGTCTCCAAGCCAAGATCCTGCAGCCTCTCTCCAAATGTAAGTCTCCAGACTTGCTTAGAACAGAAAAGGGCAAAATACTCTTAAAAAAAAAAAAAAATCCCGACCTAGGGAATATTTGCTCTGATTCAAGGGACACTCTGCCTGTTCCAGGTCCAAACAGAGGTGAGGACAGAGCCTGGCGTCTCCAACTCCCATAAGCAGCACTGGACTGAGTCCAGGGGCAAAAAAGGGTGGTTTTGGGATTATTTATGATACAGTCCTCAGAGGTAGATGCAGAGGAAAGAGGGGCTCCCAGAGTGTGGCTAACAGCACCCTCTTCACCCTCAGATGTGAATGGCCACGGTAGGTCACTTCCAAATCCTTGACTGCATGAAAAACGCCAGGGCGTCCCCTGCCCAGGGATGCTCGTGGTGGTTTTACACCCTGTGAGCCTTGTCTCTCCTCCCCCAACTTACTTTAAAGCAACTTCAATTTACTTCAGTGCCGAACACCGACCCGTTCATTTTAACTGATCACTAAAATGAGAAATACAGCGAGGCGTGGTCAGTGGGGGCGACATTCCTGGTCACCACACGGGGTGGCCTGACCTGCTGAAGGGGATGGACGGAGGCCGCGTTATGACCTTGTCTGTGGACAGGGAGCCCAGGTGGGATGATGGCGACCGTGACCAGGCGGCAGGCAGCTCTCTACACCAGGTGCAACTGTCTCAGACCCACAGTGCCGTGGGATTCAGGGTTCTTACTGCTACCTGGATTTGACACGAAAGAAACCGAGTCCCTGAAAGGTCACGCGGAGGAGCTGGAGCCCAGGCACTATCCTCAGAGCCGTCTTCCCACCTGGCTCTTGCTTCAGAGCCCCTGACTCAGGACAACACATGCTCAGGGGATCCGACCAGATTCAGTCCCCCCAGTGGGGTAGGGAGCAAGGTTTCCCGTGTTCCCACCACACGTCCTGCCCCGCACTGGGCCTCTCCTGGGCCTTGCTCCCGGCGGCTCAAAGACCCAGTCAGGGCTGGAACCCAAGTCAACTGTCCCCCAAGCTCCACCGTCCCCACCACTCCAGAGAGCCCCTGTACAGGGCCACAAGGACAGACCTGGGTCTGAAGCTTTAATTTACTTGGGTGCGTTCCCCGAGACCATGCCTCCTGAAGTCTCAATTTCTGTCCCACGAAACAGGAAGGAATGAGGCCCCATGATCAACTTGGGGTGAGGACCAGTAACAAGATATGCAAAGCCCGGGGCTCAGGGCTGTGCATGGTCAGGGGCTTGTGTAAAGACGCAGTTGTCGCTGCCCACGGGGAGCCCGCATGCCGCACAGAAACTTGATGCTGGGATGGCCGCGCCCTTCCTCCAGACACGGACCCCAGCAATGTTGAGACTGTCACTGCCAGCCCTGCAGCACCCACCGAGCACCCACGGGAGACAGTTCTACTGTCATCCCTGCTCCCGGCACAGCGGGGTGCTGACTCACCCACTACCAGGCCCCTGCCAAGAACATGATCCCTCTAAGAAGCCAGGGCCAGCCCCCACCTTCCCAACTGCAGCTGGAGCAGGCCAGCCCCCAAGGTCTTCCCCACATGGGCTCCCAGCTCCAGGGACCTGTGCAGAGATGCCATTCACGGGCAGGTGGCCTCAGCACCATCCACGGCAACCTTGCTTTCAATGAGGGCAAATGTGAAAGCCTGTGTGCACTTAAATTTCTGAGGTAGGGGTCAGACATTCCCTCTACTAAGTTACTAGGAAAAAACAAAAAAACCCGGAAACCAGAGATGGCAATCAGGTTGGGTTTTGTGATTTATGGAAAATCAAAGACAAAGGGGGAGTTTTTTGTCTTATTTTTGCTATGACAGCTTTAGAAATTTGTTGTACTACACTGATTCAATTTTCCTTGATTTCAGCCATCTTTCAATAATGCAACCTGCTTCTGCTAGCTGGGTACACAAGAGAAAACCCCAAGGAACCAAGAATATTGAAATGGTTCTACCATTTCCATCTCTGAGACAAATGTTCCTCTCCAAGGGGAGCTGGCTGCGGCACGTGACTGCTTAACAACCTTCTATACATAAAAGATGACGTGCGCTCTAACGCTGTCTTAGGAAGACGCAGGCGCTCCTGGCAGATCCGACCTCCAGTTTGACTCCATCATCTTAACTGTGTCCTCTGGGCTCTCCTGGATGCCCTTCTCTTTTTCCAGGGATATGTCCAAGCTCCTGCAGCCCAGGCTGTCCCGTGGGTCTCACCCATCAAGCTGGGACCCGGGGCCCTGACCCTTTCTCTGAGTCAGGAGAGCTGTGACAACTTCCCCCAAGGCCCTCCTGATGGCAAATCATGAACCCTCGTACCTGCCCCAACCTCCACCTTTGCTGAGCTGAACCGTTTTGAAGAAAAATGAACAGAACTAATTGCTGTGTCTGCCACTTAAAACCTTTTGACTTAGAGAAGACAAGATGTTGGCTAGATTCAACTGGAAATAATAAATGCAGTATGAGTGAGTTTTTTTTTAAAAAAGAAAATCTGAGGGTTTTCCCCCCATTTGAGAAGGGTACCCCTCTCTGCTGGTCCTGGACAGCAGATCCTGACCTAGGCCCACCCGCCACCACTCTGGCAGCTCACTTACCTCCTTCTCAATTTCTGCTAGAGATTTGATGGTGATTCCCAAGAGATCAAAGGGCTGCATCTGGAAATACAAGCAAGTCACCCTTTTTAACGGCCAGAAACTCTTCTTTCATATTTGCTTTTATGCATGGCGATAGTGAAATCTCGAACCCACGCCGCGCGGCCAGCTTCTCTCCGCCCCTTTCCACAGGAAGCTGCCGCCACTGCGACTGTAGCACCGGCCAGGGCACAGGGAGGAGTGACACAGAGCACGGTGGCCGCCAGGGCTGTGGCTGGTCAAGCACTGGTGAGGTTCGCTCTTTCTTGCTGGAGCTGTGGGATGTCGCCAGGGGCCCCACCGACCACTGTGGCTACAGGGTGTCTCAGGGGTTCCGGGAGCCTGTGGTGTCCTGGGAAGGAGCGGAGGGAACCCTGGGTCTTTGAGAATGTTAGGTGAATGAGGCAACCGCTCATCAGTTACTATCTGTGAAACGTGGTGGCGAGAGGTTTTAATGGGCGGGCCTGGATCCCTCCCTCCTCGCCTGCTTCCTCCTTCCCTGCCTTTGCTTTTGTGGTTCTGGAGATCCAACCCAGGGCCTTTCCATCAAGCTATAATTGTTTTGAATTTGAGACAGGTGTTGCCAAATCACTAAACTGCCCAGGCTGGGCTCGAACTTGCAATCCTCTTGCCTCAGCCTCTCAGAATGCTTGGATTATAAGCTGGCACCACCACGTCTAGCTTCTAACGGGGGTTTCTGTAATTTCATGAATATGAGGACTCCTTCTTTGCAAATGCTGTCTTTTTTAGCAGAGAGCATGAAAAGCCAAATACAGGCAAGTTGGCTGGAGGTCTGTGTGGCTGGGGTGAAACACGGAGGAGCCTGGCTGTGAGGTCCGGGTCCGAGTCTCATCTAGGCGCATTAGTTCTACGTTTCCAAAAGGGACAGGGGCCCAGACTCTTGGGTCCGGGTCAGCAGCTGGCAGCGTGGGGCGAGCAGGTGGAACCGGAGAGGTGGTTCCGCCTCTCAGCAGAAGCCCGGCGGTGGGCACCGAGCTAGATTTCTCGCATGGCTGGAGCCCGAGGACCTGGATTCAAAACTGAGCGCTTCTGACGCAGCTGCAGGTTAAACCACTGCAGCATTTCCCGGCTGTTAGCCTGCTAAAAAGTGGTCTGGGCAGGCCCTCCAGGCTGGGCTGCTGGGGATTAGAGCAGAGAAAGGGCTTGGAAGGGCTCCAGCGAGCTGGGCTGGGCCTCAGTCCGTGGCCTCAAGCACTTGCTGAGTCGGCAGCACCACATCTGCAAGGGCAATCTTGGGACGGGGCCACCAAATCAGACACTGTACTCCCAGGGCTGCCCTGCCAGTAGCCACAAAACAGTTTGGCTCTATTCGTGCTGCCAGCCCGAGGGGCGGGAGCTCGGGGCCGCCTGCCCGTGCTGCCCGGATCCAGCAGAGGTCCAGCTGTTGCACCATTAGGCTCTAACTACTCCACTAAACTTTCCCAATTGGAGCTGGAGAGCAGGACGGAGCTGCCTCTCCCAGGGAGCCGGTGGGAGAGGCGCCAGGGTCTCCATGGCAACGCGGCCAAGTGGAGTCTGCGGAAGTTACTCCAGCTCCGCATGTCACGTCAGGCGCATTTTTCAAGATTAAGCTGCTTACCAGAAGGGTTCAGACGAGGCCTATTATATTTCATGAAAATGGAAACTACAGAGCAGGTCAAATCGCAAGCAGGGTGGTTTTAAGCTGGGTCCAAGAAAAACACTGAAGGGGTCTTTAGCTGGTGCCCAAACTGAGGCCTTCGGGTTGAGTAGTAACTCAAAGCAATCTCTTGCAGAAAGGATAAAATGCCAGAAACAAATTTTCTGAGCACGTGTGGACCAGCCCTGTGCACCTAGGGAGGGCCATTGCTGTCCTAGGGCGCAGGCTCTGAGAGGTGTCCCCAGCAGGGCACTCGGGGCCTGCACCCCGGCACAGGGTCGTGTGTGTGGCAGGTGGCTTTCATGGTCTGGATCCTGGCTTCCAGTCCAGGCCGGCTCATTCAGTCCTCTGTACTCACAGTACAGAGTTTGGCCTGGGGCTCGGGGTGCTCCTGTGTACGGTGGTCAGTGCAGACAGAGACCTGCAACCAGGGCTGCCCTGCATACTGAGTCCTCTGAGCCACAGCCAGAGGACGCAGCGACAGCACCAGGACAGCCTCCTTGCTGCAGGAAATTGTCATTGTTGAATAAAAACGAACAAAACTGACTAAGCTGAACTTGGGAAACAGCCTTCACAAGGAGCGCAGTGCAATTTACTGTCACAGTGGAAATGAAAGGCTCAGCTGCCAGTGAACCCGGCTACCAGTCCGTCTCACTCCCCGCCAGCCCTCACTGCTCTTTGCTTCCACTTCTCAAGCACCTACAAGGCGCAGGCACCAGCTGAAGGGGCCCAGAGATGAGCACGACTCCCCCTTTGCTCTCAGGAGTCACAGGCACCAGGCTGCGGGGTTCGTGTCTCACGAGGAGAGAGGCAACATGATTCCCCCGGGGTGGGCAGAGCAAGGTGTCCACCGCGGTCTGCATGCATGGAAACTGAGGCAGAGGGACTTTAGGCTGGGGTGGCAGAAGGGGTTATAACGCATAAAACTTACACTTTCTGGAACACACGAAAACTTCTCTGAAATCATAAAAGGCACACCATCCATTGCTGCAAAAGGAGAAAGGAGAGAAAATGGAGCTGAAGACATTGTCAGTGTCCCATACCGTAAGACATCAACATAGAGTCTGAGTGGGTCCCTGGCTGGAGCTGAGCGACACCCAGAGCCGGTAGTGGGAACTAGTGCTGTCTCTAGGGACCACAACCTAATGGGGACAGATGCCTCGGGACACCCACGCCAGGCAGATGCAGCTCTGGGACCAGTGAAGGGCTGGTTTAGAAAACCTCCAGCTCCTCCACCCATGAGTCTGGCCCCAGGCTGGAAGAGGTGGGAGCTACCCCTGACTGCCTCTGAGAGGAGCGGACGCCCTGGGAGGAGGTGGCAGCAGCAAGTCACTTGGACAGTCTGGGCTGAGCACAGCTTCTTCCCTGGGTTGAAGGGAGGGGACAGGAGTCCGGGAGCCAGGCTGTGGCGTCTGGGTCCCGGCTGGGACTTCGGATGAACAGCTGAAGTCCCTCGCACGAGAAGATGGTGATGTAAGTCACGGATACAAGGGGAAGGGTATGGATTGGGTACCCAGTGAAGATGGAAAGCAGGGGCCTCGGGGGGTCTCCTTTTCTCCCTTTCCCCTCTCTCCCTATCTACACTGCCCCCAGGTCGTCACTGTCAAGGGAGAAAAGTGTGACCAGGAGCCCACCGCCACAAGCACTTTCCCCCTGCTAATCACAGCGTTAGAAGAGGACTGTGGTCACTGGTGCCGGGGACCTTGCCACAGGGAAGGACCAGGCCACAATACGTGACCTCTGGCAGCCCAGTGGGGTGCTGAGAAAGTCTTGGTTCTCCATTAGTGCCTCACAGCCCTTTGTGGGAGACTGGCAGCTCTGAGGCTGGCGTGTGGGCCTCACACTGAGGTTTTGAGGTAAGCTGTGGTTTTAGGAAGGAAAGGGGTGAGGGCCTAGCAGCCTTGGGGAGCGGGTTCCCTGGAAAATGACAATCTGCATTCCCCATGGTCTTCCCAGGCCTCTAAGTGCTGGGCAATCTTTCAGTTCTAGGGTAGAAGAGCAGCGGAGGCAGGAAGGGGCAAAGCAGAAGGGGAGAAGGGAAAGGAGAGAGATCTGGTTACATTCTTTCAAGTCAGCAAAGATAAGCCAGAGAGCAGATTTTTAAACTATGCTCACGATCAATTTTGTGGCCCCTTCTATGGGTGGAGCCTCTGTAGGCCATCTGGGGGACCGTGGGGTGCTCTGGGCAGTGGCCCGCCCATGCGAGCACTTCAAAGGGTCTGCATCGGTCTACTTTCCATGCTCAGAAAGGCTCTAAGGTAATTTCTTCACAGAAAGCTTCCTGGGGGGCTAATGGCAAACAGACCGGAAGTGATCACTAAGGGGCATCCTCGCTGCGCTAGGAGGAAGGGAAGAGCCTTCCCACCACTGACTGAGAAGCAAGAGGGAATCGGGGGTGGCCCCAGGATGCTGGCGGCTGACACAGCTGCCTGCGCCAGCAGCAGAGGGGAACGGAACCAGCTGGACCCCAGCCCCGGTGCAAGGAGCTGTCTGGTAAAGCCCTAGAACTGGCGCCCTGGGTACACACAGGACCACTCTGTCCCAGAGCTCCGGACATGAGGGCAGGCGGTCCTGTGCTCCTCACCTTCTTTCACAAAAGAGCATTTCAGCAAACTCACAGGAGACAAAGCGGAGAGGAAAAGGACTCCCACTAACATGGGAGGCTCTGAGGAGAGGCGAGAGTCCCTAGGAGGCACAGTCAACATTTGCTAGTAAAGCGGGTGACCTGCCGACCAAACTTCATGGATTAAAAACTTCTAGTCTAGTACATCTGCGCTTCCGGCAGGCTGAAAGCACGTGAGTTTTAGCAGAGCATTTTGACAAAATTCCTCATGTTATCCACGTAGACAAGACGGTAAAGGTGGCTGGAAAACATTAAGCTTTGGAGGCTCCCTAACTGGGCTCTGGAGATGTGGATTAATGGGCTGATGTTAACCCGGGTGACCTCTCTGAAGGGCACCCAGGGTGTCAGCTACCTAAACAGAGACGCCCACAGGGTGCTTTCCGGATTCCTGCAGGCAGGAGCCTATGAGGACAGTCTAAACGCGGGGTCCCAGTGAAATCCGATCACAGTCTCGGAACCCTGGGACCCTGGGCCAGGCAAGAGGATGACAGAGTCAAAGTGAAGACCCGCGGTTTAAACCCAACATCCAGCGGTGTTAGGCAGAACAGGAGAGAGGTGGGATAACAGGAGGAGTACGGGATAAAAGGCTTGGTTGCTTGATTAAGTCGCTAATGCAGTCTGATGACTTACGAAGGGGTGGGCACCACCCCAAGGGCTATAGTGCTAGGGCCACCCGGGAGCCTAGAAGGAGGCCCGCATGGTGAGGGGACCTGCCGCTTGAGCCCAGGAGGAAGAGGAGAAGCGGCCATCCCGTCCACTGTGGCTCACTGCGCCCGCACCCCCAGAAACCCAGAGCAGCGTCCGTCGGGTGGGGGGCGCAGCCAGAGTGGGGTTCCGTCAGGGAAGACGCACAGGGAGCGTAAGCAAACGTCACAGCTTTGCTGGCAGTCATGGATCACCCGCAGTTCAGCTTTGGAGCTTTTCCTTGGGGAATAAGCAGAGCCACACGGTCAGGGTCCAGGCAGACAGGCCTTGTTTGGGCAGCCGGTGTGGGCTGTCATCTGTGGGGCCTCTGAACCCCTTCTAATTCCATAACATCTAGTTCTGCACTTTATCTGGGTAGCCTTTCCATATTTAAAAATATCCAGAGGTTTGCCAAACATAATTCTTAAAATCAATGGCACATATTTTTCATGTGCTCCCGAAGACTGTGCATACATCATGTCTGCCCCGGCTTCTCACGGGGAGCATTCATTCGCCTCCTTCCTTTCTCCCTGGCCGGAGCTGGCTTCTCTTCACTGCTCGAGAGCCGAGGCCCTGTGATCATGGCTTCCCCTGCCAGTCTTTCACTGACCCTGCTCAGGGTGACAAGTGCTGGAGGATCTGGGGACAGGGAGCCAGGTCCATAGTGTACCACAGTGGCCTGCCCTGCCAATCGGCATGGGTTGGGAGGAGCCCTTTGATTGCTGCAAAGGCCCTGTGGCCCCCAGGGTAGTAATACAAGGTCTCCTCCAAGCCTGGGAAGTAAAAGCAATGCTGGCCTACCAAAGAGAAGAAAGAAAGAAAACCCGTATTTGTTGCACACACACTAATTAGGTCATGAACCTGCAGCAAGTGACTGAACCTTAATATGACCATTTGCCAGGAATATGCAAAAACGGAGGTTTGGAGGAATTACATGGGCGGGATGGAGCGCGGATTCAAACCCAGAGCCTGGCTAGTGCTGAGACCACGGGCTGTGGCGGGGAGGGCATTTGGCAGATCTGTTTTCATCCCACCTCTGTGGGCCCCGGTAACCTCAGTTCTCTAAGCCCTCACTGTCCTATCTGTAAAATGGGGACAGTACTACAGCTCACTCAGGCTGTCAAGAGGGTGAAAAGACACAGGATTAGGAGCAGAGGCGAAACGCCCAGAGTGCAGGGGTGGCTGCCTGGCAGAATGGGTTTCAATGACCAAAAGTCACATACTGCAGGTTTCCTTTCAGCACCAGCCAGTGTTTGCTGCTGCTTCTTCTTTTTTTTTAAATTTTAAATTTTGGTGGCAGTTTTAACAAAACGCTGATCTGCCGCACCGAGCAACATCCAGAGATGAAAGCAAGGGTGTGCCGCAGGCTCTGTAGCGCAATTAGCATTCTCCTAAACAAACGAGCTTCAACAGAGCTGTAATTAAGCAGGCCTGTAATTAAGTATATGCCCTTTATCATAACGATCATGCTTAAAAATGGCACGATGCATGGAACTCTGTTATTAATGCTGTAATCCCAAACTGAAGTGCACAAGTACATGGAAATCAGCGTGTCAGGCCTGTCACCAGAGTGTTTGTAAAATACATTAAAGAAAAAAACCCAGAAAACAATGAGCTCATTCAACTGTTCTTTTTACAGTCAGGCACTGCAAGTCAAGAGGATTGTGAATGCTTATGGATGTTTAAACAAATAAAGCTCTAATCTGCTACTATATTAAACCCACTCCCTACTTTAAAGAAGGAGAAGGGGGAGGTGGCAATTTTTTCCTTTTTGCCAGCTGACCTGAATACCTGTCTCTGCTGTTCTCAGGGAAGCATGCCGTGTTTGTTTGGACATAAAATGGGATTCCTACTCGCAGATAGCTCTGCTATGCATCTGTAGGAACTGTGCTGGGCTTCAGGATGGGATTGCAGCTCCGCCCCCTCCCTTCCTGTGGGGACTATAATTTTACCTGCCAAGGCAGTCCCCAGAGCTGTCCCTTGACTGCCAGTGACCAGCTCCCAAGGGCTCTGGGCCTAGGGCTTCTCCACTGCCCCGCGCCCCTACATCTGCTGACATCTCAACACAGATAGGAAATTCTCCCATCAACACAGGGATTTTAACTTCAACATGTTTGATTTAAAAAGTCATATAAATCAGGTGGTACAAATGTAAGCATTGAAAATACGCCTCCAGTACCAGCATCTCAACTGTCATCTGCTTACAGTAACCAGGCCGTGTTAAGTGAACCCGAGTCAGAGAACCCTGAAAGTACACGGGGACGACGGCGAACCACATGGCTTGTTGGCAGGCAGTCATTTTCCGAACAAAATTAAATGCGGCTGGAATGGTAAGAGGCCTTTAATTCTGTGTACCTGCTTTGGGCTCAGAGCTGTACATGACCAGCAACCCCAACCCTTTCCTCTTCCCTTTCTTGTAGCATTTTGAAAGTCCTTTACAATTTGTGATGGGAAAAATGCCAAGAACTCCAGATCTCAAGGCCATTTCTCAAAACTCATTTGCAAACCAAAACACGGAGGCTGCTCTGTGCTTTCTTGGTGATTTCACTTTGGGGATATTCCATGGAAGATATTTGTAGACGCCTCCAGAGCTGTCTGCCCGGTGACATTCCAATTGAGTTTACATAAGGCCAACAACTTCCTTCTAGATCCCCGAAGTAATTTGTTTTGCCACATTATT